ACGTCCATGTGCCGCAACTAGAGACACAGCCGAGTGCCACGCACATGAGCAGAAATGCCGTGGCCTCACATGGTGTCGCGCTATGACTTACAGTCAACGCGCCTAGTATGGACGCGCGCCTTCATCTAGGGTACCCTTGTGTCCTTGCCTCTGAGGCCCGTCCTTGCCATTATCACTGGTCGCCCGCCGCCCTAAAAAACCCAACTTCGGCCTCCAAGGGTCTTTTGTCCTTATCACCCGTCCTTAATACACGTTTTGACTGTGCTTCACGGCTAAGTGCCAGGCTGCGGCGGAAGGTGCATTGTCTTGCCAGATTTGCGGGGGGGTCTTCTCACCCCCCAGTGCTTGGACAGCATGGGCAAACACGGAGCCGGTCAAGTGTTGCGGGGGCGCCCACGCTCTCGCATGAGTTTCTGTGCTGGCTACTTGCACGAAAAAGGTCGCACGGCAATGCACCTGGCTGGTACGTCACTGAGGGTCCGGGTGATATGCATCAGGGGCAACAGTTGACGAACCAACAACATATTGTTCAGCGGGGTGGTGCTTGATTGTTTCAAGACATCTGAATGTGTCACGTGGTTAATGTACGGTCATGGTCTACGGAACATTTGCCCCAGGCATTGTACGTGTAACGCGTCGAACTTCTTCGCCTCCGCCTGGTTCAGGATGGCCGTGCGCAAACAGAGCATCCATGTTCCGAGGATGAAATGGTCGAAGGTCTCAAGTGTCCCTGACCGCGTCAGCTTGGGATGGACCCACACTTGCTCCAACGTTTCGAATTCCGCCCATGCGGCACCACTTCCTCCCTCCTCCCTCTTCCTGTCTACCTCGTTTGCGGCCCTCCCGCCGTCTCATCGTCCTTTTCCTGCTCTACATGCCCCGCTCGTCCGCCCTCCTCCTCCTCCTCCTCCTCCTCCTCCTCCTCCTCCTCCTCCCCCATCCTACTCTGACCTCCCTCATCGTCGTTCTAGACAACATAGTCGGCATCGTCCTCTTCCTCGCCTCCCTTCTTCTTCCTTCACCCTCAGTGGTTCGTCGTTTCTCTTTCCTCCCCTCCATCTTGCCTCCTCGTTCCCTTCTCCCTCCCTCCTCATCCTACCGTCTCCGCCTTTTAATATTTCTCCTCATCCTCCTCCTACTTCTCCTCTCCTACTGTCCCTCCTTTGTTGCTCTCTCTCTCTCTCTTTCTCTCTCTCCCTCCTGTTCATCCCCCTCCACCCCGCAGCTTCCCCCCATGATCCTTCCCAACACACTTTCCCGGGGACTTTCCCCTTCCCCCCCCTCGCTCTCCTCCCCACTCTTCCATCCATCCCTCCTCCTCCTCCTCCTCCTCCTCCTCCTCCTCCTCCTCCTCCTCCTCTCCCCCCTTTGCCTCCCGCTGTACGCCGCCGACCCTCCCCAGCAGAAGGACGTGGGAGGAGAGGGCGCGAGAGGTGCAGAGGGGGACGAGGTCAGACGGGGCCAAGACGAGGACAGCTCCGTTCAAGAGCGTTCCGGAAAGCTCTCAGTCGAATAACAAAAAATCGCCATGATCATCAACTTTTGGCGATCCGCGCGGACTTCCTGGATCTGGGCCCCCCCCCAGCGGCGCCGCCAGCGCCGCCCGCGGCGCGCTCCGGAGGGGCGTCCAGCGCGGATCCCAGAAATCCACGCGGAGCGCCAAAAGTTTATGTTTATGGCGTTTTTGTTTTGTTTTTCTTGTTGTTCTTCTTCTTCTTCTTCTTCTTCTACTCAGAGCGTTCCCGAACGCTTTGAGGAGGCCACGGCGCCCGAGACCTCTTCCAGAGCTGCCGGCTCTCGGAGATCCTCGATCCCTCCTCGCCCGAGTCCATCCCCGCCCTGGCCTCGTCTGGCGAGGGGGGCCGAGAGCGAGGCCGAGAGCTCGAGACCGTCGAGGTCGCGATCCAGGCTGGAGGCCCCCAGGGACTGGAAGGGCGTGCGCGGGCTCGGGCTGGAGCCGCCGCGCCGCCCCCGCCCCCCCAGAGGAGGAGGAGGAGGAGGAGGAGGAGGAGGAGGAGGAGGAGGCCCCCCCGCTCCCCGCGGGAGCGCGCGCCTGGCCGGCGGGCGAGCGGGCGGCGCAGCCAGGGCCCCCCGGCCAGGGCGAGGTCACTTCGCAGGCGTCCTCCCCCTCCTCCTCCTCCTCCTCGTCCTCCTCCTCCTCCTCCTCCCCCTCCTCCTCCTCCTCCTCCTCCTCCTCCTCCTCCTCCTCCTCCTCCTCCTCCCTCCGCCTCCTCCTCCTCCCCCTCCTCCTCCTCCTCCTCCTCCTCATCCTCCTCCTCCGCCTCCTCCTCGAGAAGAGAGAGAGAGAGAGAGAGGAAACGCCACAAGCATAAGTTGGTTGGCGCTCCGACGCGGCGGTTCGACGAACAGAAACCGTCGCAAACAGAAACTGTTGGCGCTCCGCGCGGATTTCTTGGATCCGCGCCTGGGACCCCCCCCCAAGAGGCGCCTCCGGCGCCGACCCTGGCGCGCTCCGCGCGCTAGGGAGGGGGGTCCAGCGCAGCTCCAAGAAATCCGCGCGGAGCGCCAAAAGTTTATGTTCATGTCGTTATTAGTATTATTATTATTGTTATTATTATTTTTATTATTATTAGTAGTATTAGTATTAGTATTATTATTATTCTTATTATTATTATTATTATTAATATTCGTAGTATCATTATTATGATTATTAGTATTATCATCATCATCATCATCATCAGTATTATCATTGTTGTCATTATTATTATTATCATTGATATTATTATTACTATTAGTAATAGTATTATTATTATTACTATTACTATTACTACTACTATTATCATCATTGTTATTTTATTATTATAGTATTGTTAGTATTATCATTATTATTACAACTACTACTACTAGCATTATTACTATTATTATTATCATCATCAGTATGATTACTATTATTATCATTAGTTTTGTTATTATTGATAACAGTATTGTTCTTCTTCTTTACAGATGGGGCCCGAGTAGATGGAGCCATAGGATCGCGCCGCCTCACCGATGCATCGAGGATGCGGCTCGATGTGGGGCCCGATGTTTACCACGCCGACGTCGCCGATGCGTTGCTGACGTCGCCGATGCGTCGCCGATGCATCGATGATGCATCGACGAGGCGGCGCGATCCTCCGACCCCATCTACTCCGACCCCATACGAGAGGCCTCTAGTTGGGTTCATCCTACTCTCCCAGACATGCTCGCACACCGCAAGCATCACGGCGGGAGGCTTCTGCCAGTTTTGAGCCTCTGGAGGGCTCCTGCCTGGCCGCGGTCGCGTGTATCCTGCCTCGTGCGGCTTGGCTCTGTCCGGCGCCGCTGTGGTTTCGACTTTGTCGATAGGGAGTTGGAGGAAAGAGGGTCGACGCCACCCTGGTCGGGTCCGATGCGCAAGTCGACCCTGCAAGATCAAAGGTCGTCTTGTTGTCTCTGGCTGATTCTTGTGTCCTGTGGCTATGTTTTGCACCATGTTGCCCTTGGGAGAGTCTTGCATTCTTGTGGATGTGGCCAGTCAAGCGTCCAGGCTACCACCTGGAGGGGGGGGGTATGGGGAATTAGGGGCGGTGTTGACGGTACACCTTTTTGCACGCTTGCAACCCACAAAGAAGCAAGTATTGCAACCCCGAGCTGGTGCTGAGTTTCTTTCTCCCTTGGGGGGGGGGGAGGAGGCCGCTCTTTGATCGTTGGCTCGTCGAGGTGGCCCTGTCGCCGATGGAGCGAGGGGGGTGTCGGGTCAGCTTGGCTGCAGGATGCTGATGTGCACGGCCGATGCTGGACTTCAGCAGGCTACTTTCTCTTGCTGCTCCTGGCTGGCAGAGGTGTGCGTGTGCGTGTGCGTGTGTGCGTGTGCGCGTGCTCGTGTGCGTGTGCGCGCGCGTGCGTGTGCGTGTGCGCGCGCGTGCGTGTGCGTGTGCGTGTGCGTATGCCTGTGTGTGTGTATGTGTGTGTGTGTGCGTGTGTGTGCGCAGGTGGGCACATGTGCTCCTTAGATCCGTTTCTCACGTTGGCAGGCGCTCGCATTCAGCAGTGATGTTGTGCTTCTCTCTGCTTGGTCAGGAGGTCGGCAAACCCAAAAATGTCGAGCTGTCACTGTGAGGCTCGGCGGGTGCCGCGTCAGCCCTGCAAAATTCACCCTGCACCTCTATTGTAACGGGTGGTCCCAGTGAGTACGCCTCTCTAGAGTGCACCTCTGCGGACCACTCTGGAGTTTCAAATGCATGCAGTCAGCATTCTGCCATCTCTGCTGCTCTGTGGCCACGCCCAGATCCGTGGTACTGTATGCCCATCGTGCAAGTCATTCCTCTCCTTCTCCTTCCCCTCTGCCCAGAGATCTCTGGCGGCCTCCGCGGCAGCCTACGAAGGCCGCTGGAGGCCCCTCCAGACCCCCTGGAGGCCTGTGGAGGCATTGAAGATGTCGCAAAGGTCCTCAATTTGTCCTCCTCCTCCTCCTCCTCCTCCTCCTCCTCCTCCTCCCTGGATCGACGTAGCTGCCTCGGGCCGGAGTGGATGGTGTGCTGCGGCGGCACACCGGATCGCGGACATCCTCCTTGCTCCTGCCATCTGGACGCCGGAAGTGGGTACGGAAAGAATGGGTACAATGCCCAACAGCAGTTCCTGTTCATTTTGAACAGGATTCGCTGTCCACGCCGCCGCGGCCTGTGTCCATTCGAGACAGAAGGCCGCCTGCCCAGCAGCGGCCGCTGTTGGTTTGGGACAACATTTGTTGTTGGGCATTGTATCCATTTCTTCCGTACCCATTTCGGGCGTCCAAATGCCAGCCTTTACCCCTCCCCCCCCCCCGGACGCCCCTCCGCCGCCCCTCCTCCTCTGCAGCAGAGTTCCTCCTCTCGCTGCGCCGCCTGGCGTGCCCGCAGGGCGGGCCCAGCAGTCTCCCTACAGTGCCGTTTTTAATACGTGCTCCGCGTGCGGATCATGTGTTGAAAATGCAGGGATTTGGTATCAAAAACAACGATGAGTTCGTGCATCAGTTGATTCGT